CCCAAGCAGCGTCCTCCACATCTCCATCTTTCTCCATCCTCCCTCTCCCCCCGCTCCACACCCATCTCCCCACCTTCCTCCGTACCTTCCCCAGCCCCCAGCCACCACCGGTCGTCGCCTCTCCCCTCCCCCGCCGCCCGGATCAGGAACGATCGCACCGTGCGGCCGCCTCCCGCCCCGCGCGCGGATCATCCTACCATGCTGAGGCGCTGCGCCCCATACCGACCCCGCAGGGCCGCCGCCGCCTCACCGCGCCTCCCGATCCCCGGCGGCCACCCCTACCTCGCCGTCTTCTCCTTCCTCTTCATCCCGACCTAAGCTCCACGCGTTCCGACAGGCCGGCCCTCGCCTGGCGTCCCTCTCGGCGCCGAGCTGCCTGCCTGCCTGGTGGAATCGTCAGCCGCTCGAGTCGACGGGGCCGATCGACCCCGCGATGAGCGAGGAGGAGGCGCAGAGGTACGGCGGCGGGACCGGCGGCGGTGGCGTCGGGGCGCTGTCCGTGGATCTGCTGGGCCAGGTTCTCGACCGCGTGCTGGAGCGGCGGGACCGCAAGGCTTGCCGCCTCGTCAGCCGCGCCTTCGCGCGCGCCGAGGCCGCGCACCGCCGGGCTCTGCGGGTGCTCCGCCGGGAGCCGCTCCCTCGCCTGCTCCGCGCCTTCCCTGCGCTCGAGCGGCTCGATCTCTCGGCCTGCGCCTCGCTCGACGACGCGTCTCTTGCAGCCGCTTTGGCCGGCGCGGACCTCGGCACCGTCCGACAGGTCTGCCTGGCGCGGGCCAGCGGAGTGGGGTGGCGCGGGCTGGAAGCCCTGGTGGCCGCCTGCCCCAGGCTCGAGGCAGTCGACCTGTCGCACTGCGTCGGTGCTGGGGATAGGGAGGCTGCCGCGCTGGCCGCGGCCTCCGGGCTGAGGGAGCTGAATCTGGAAAAGTGCCTGGGCGTCACTGACATGGGACTCGCCAAGGTAGCCGTGGGGTGCCCCAGACTGGAGAATCTGAGCTTCAAGTGGTGCCGTGAAATCTCTGACATCGGTGTCGATCTGCTTGTGAAGAAGTGCCGCGAGCTCCGCAGCCTTGACATCTCCTACCTAAAGGTTATATACTTCCACATGAGCTGTTGGACTCCCCGCTTATGCAGTGGAAACGTCTAGGTTCGTCCGTTCGGCTTAGGACTAGAACCCTTGATAAACAGGAGAAACAATATGGCGACGAATACATAGAGTGTGACTTTGATGTTTATTGATTGCTTTTAGACCCAGAAAATGTCAAAGAGATTCGGGGTATTGGACCATTGGACTTATTGGGTGGTTCATCCAGTTTAGAGATTGATGCATTTGTTAGGTGTCTTTTAGGGTAGTATGGGTCAACCTATGCAGACACCTTTGGAAGAATGCAGCTGGAATAGGAAACGTTCTTACATATCTGTTCTGGTAGCTAGTATATAGGCTTTTAGAAAAACTCGTGACCTCTTGGATCACACTTTAGTTACATCTTCCTTCCCAAGAAAAGTTCAAATTTGGTGCCAGATGGCAAAAGTACATTTGAAAAAATTGTACCATGTGATAGGTACTGGTATGTATTGTAGGAGTTAGAGGTGGCAAAGATGGATTTTGACCTGGACTAGTTCTTGGTCCTTTTGACTAGGAAATTATGATGCGTTGGTTGAAGTTTACCTCCGTATATGTTGAATCTCAATCTGTTGCTGTGTAGATTAGACTTGACTCATTTTATGGAGTGCACTCATTATATCTTGGTGCAATTTATAATTGTATTTTGGTCAACAACAACAAAGCCATTTGTCCCAAGCAATTTGGGGTAGGCTAGAGATGAAACCAAACAGAAAACCATGAGAACCCAAAAGAGAAGAGAGAAAGTAAAAGTAAACAAAAGAAATCAAGGTTCTGGTACATGGATTACTGATTTCCATCATTCCATGCAGTCCTGTCAAGAACCAAATCCCTGGGTACATCCCAGTCCTTCAAGCCTCTTTTTACCGCCTCCTCCCATATCAACTTTGGTCGCCCCTATCCCTCCTAGTATTTTCGATACTAAGAATTGTATGTTGATCACTTAAGAGAAATTGTATTTTGGGTACTTCTTCTGTCATGGAACTGAAAGGAACTGCATGTGTCGTGTCATTGCCATCAGGCCTGATTGCCATGTTGTTCAGTATTACTCCTTCCTTATCAAAATATAAGACATTTTTTGACACTATAAAAAAATCTAGTATACTACCCTTTCCAGCCGACACTTTTGGCATGCTGCTGCTGGAAAGGAGTGAGTTTGGGTAAAACAGAATCTAGGTAATTGAGTGGGGGAGACTAGGCAGAACCACAGGATAGACTCTAATCCCAAATATGCCTTTGGTCTTCATCTCTTGCAGTTTGTAAGAAATTGCACCATTAAATGGTTTGTCATATTATTGGTGACTTTGATGCATCTTAGGGAATGCTATTGGAATGAGTAGACATGGCTGCATTCATTTGGCATATGGTGTATGTTTTGGAATCCATGTTAACAAGTTTAATGCACGCCCAACGAAAGTCTTAAATCGACGAGGAATGTTTTTGCCAACATAATTTTACTTCGACACATGGCACCATTGTAACGAAAGGAGGTCTCCCTTTTAGTGGAAATTGAGAAGTCCTCATGCTTACAGAAAACATACTGATTTCTTGCTCTGTGATAAAAAACTATATAATAATAATATACTACTGAAAGGAAGTAACATTTGTTAATCAATTAACGGTGCAATTTCTTACAAACCATTTAATAATATGCAACAAAGTATTAATGTGAGGAGTATAATCTAGTATTTTGTCAGCATTTGGTTAGTTCTGAATTTCATCTACTACTGAAAGGAAGTAGCAGCAGTTTAAACCTGAAAGTGTATATTTGTTTACTGATGTTGGAAATTATCTCGATAATGGATTGAACATACTCATGAGCAAATTGCTTTCTACTCAAGTTATTAGTTTGGTTCCATCTAAAATTTTGGAAATCACTTCTTTTTGTGAACTGTACATATGATTTACTTAATTTTCCTTTTCTGTTGCAGGTGAGCAATGAGTCCCTCAGATCAATATCGACACTTGAGAAGCTTGAGGAGTTGGCCATGGTTGCTTGCTCATGTATAGACGATGAAGGCCTGGAATTGCTTAGCAGAGGAAGTAATTCATTGCAGGTATATGGATAGTATTGTAGTCTCATGTAGGAATACTCTTGCATATTATCATGTCTTCCATCACCTGAAATCATATGGCTTATTCTTTCGTCAAACATAGTATATAGATAATGATTTTGTCTCATGCCCATTATCATGTCTTTGATCATCCGAAATTATTGCTTACTCTCTCGCCACACTTTAAACTGGATAGGTCTAGTTTACCTGCAATTTTTAGTGTCCGATTATTCTTTTACATCTTACCAAGCATCGATCCATTCTAAATATCGTCTTCCATTGCAGAGTGTTGATGTGTCAAGATGTGATCATGTGACTTCCCAGGGGTTAGCTTCACTGATAGATGGTCACAGTTTTCTCCAGAAGCTATATGCCGCAGATAGTTTGCATGTGAGTTGGTATTCCTAATTTTAGGGTCTCTTTGATTCAAAGGATCTTTATAGGATTTTTGAAGGATTGGAATCCTTAGGAATTTTTCCTACGTTGATCGTTTGATTCGTAGGATTGAATCTTGTAGGATTTTTTCCTAAGGATTTATTTGTACTGCATTTCACAGGAATTCTAACATCCACTCCAACCTCTTGGAAGAAATCCTTTGCTTTCCCCATGCCACAATCAAACAAACTCAAATCCTATAGGGATCCAATGGACATGCCATTTCAATCCTACGTTTTTCCTATTCCTGTGTTTTTGCAATCCTACGAATCAAAGAGGCCCTTACTTGCTTTGCTGCACACATTGGCTGTACTTTTTGATAAAATGATGGCATGTCTTTGGGGGAAGTCTTGGCCCCCATGATGAATGAATGAATTAATAATCTAAGGGGATACATGACAAATACATAATTGCTGATGATTATTGACCTTCTACTTGAATTTTGTAGGAGATTGGACAGGATTTTCTATCCAAGTTAGTAACACTGAAGGCAACCTTGACCGTGTTGAGACTTGACGGCTTTGAAGTGTCATCCTCTCTTCTTTCAGCGATTGGTGAAGGTTGTAGCAACTTGGTTGAGATTGGACTAAGCAAATGCAACGGTGTTACAGATGAAGGCATCTCTTCGCTTGTAGCTTGCTGTAGCTACCTAAGGACAATTGATCTCACATGCTGCAATCTAGTCACAAACAATTCCCTTGATTCAATAGCTGACAACTGTAAGATGCTTGAATGCCTCCGGTTGGAGTCCTGCTCTTCAATAAACGAGAAAGGACTAGAGAGAATTGCGAGCTGTTGCCCCAATCTAAAGGAGATAGATCTCACTGATTGTGGAGTGAATGACGAAGGTTTGTGATACTGCATACTGCATCTTTTTTCATCCAAGCATGTCCATGATTTGAGCATTGTCATATGAAGTTAATTCTCTTGCAGCGTTGCATCATTTGGCGAAGTGCTCTGAACTGCTGATATTGAAATTAGGCCTGAGCTCAAGTATTTCGGACAAAGGCCTTGGTTTTATTAGTTCAAAGTGTGGAAAGCTCGTTGAACTTGACCTCTATCGGTAATTTGATCTCCTTGTTTGTTCTTTATAGGCTCCCAGCCATCTTCCTTGCACAATAATAACTTGCATATTATGTTTCTATCCTAAAGCTGCAGTTCTATCACCGATGATGGGCTGGCAGCCTTAGCCAACGGCTGCAAGAAAATTAAGCTGCTGAACCTTTGTTACTGCAACAAGATAACTGATAGTGGTTTGAGCCACCTGGGCGCTCTGGAGGAGCTCACAAACCTTGAACTGAGATGCCTGGTCCGCATTACAGGCATCGGAATTTCTTCGGTTGTCATTGGCTGTAAGAGCCTGGTAGAACTTGACTTGAAGCGCTGCTATTCTGTCGATGATTCTGGCCTATGGGCTCTTGCCCGATATGCTCTAAACCTTAGACAGGTAAATGGTATGCAGAATTTAGCTTCTTCCTGTACAAGTTCTGACGAGGCAGGAACCTTATTAGATTGTCCATATTCTGCAGCTTACCATATCATACTGCCAAGTTACTGGCCTAGGCTTGTGCCACCTGCTTAGCTCCCTGAGGTGCCTCCAGGACGTGAAGATGGTGCACCTCTCGTGGGTTTCCATAGAAGGGTTCGAGATGGCTCTGAGAGCCGCTTGTGGGAGGCTGAAGAAGCTGAAGATACTCAGCGGTTTGAAGACCGTGCTATCCCCTGATCTGCTCCAGCTGCTGCAAGCCTGCGGCTGCCGCATCAGATGGGTCAACAAGCCTCTTGTCTACAAGGATGCCATCTGATCTGAGCTGTACATATTCTTCACCCAAGTTTGTCATGGCTGCCTAGCCATGTTAGAAAATCCACAATAACTGCATGCCTTGTCAATGCCATCCCCAACGTGTGGTCAAGATTATGTTTGTGTTTGAACACCATCTCGGCGTTCAGTGATGGTGAGTAAACATGGCATCTGCTGTCAAATACAGTGTATGGTATGTACAGTGAAGCCCTTTTTTTGCGCAGCAGAGTTGTGCAGGTGGAGTTCTCTATTTGATATGAACCTGAAAAGATGCTGTAAAAGAAGGAACCTGAAGTAGTTGATTTTGTATATTGTACCTCTGTTGCGTACTACTCCCTCCGTTCCTAAATATTTGTCTTTCTAGAGGTTTCAAATGGTGACTACATACGGAGCAAAATGAGTGAATCTACACTCTAAAATATGTCTATATACATCCGTATGTGGTGACCATTTAAAATCTCTAAAAAGACAAATATTTAGGAACGGAGGGAGTAGCTTTCTACGCGTGAGCAAAAGAATAAGTTGTCAAATGTGAAGCATAATTTGACTGATTTTCCAATCGTCTATTCTGATGGTTTCAGAAAAGATATGATCCTTCATCACAAACAGGATCCACATAGAGAGCTGACAAAATTCAACCATCTTCAAAGTCGTGGTTTTCTGCACATAGGTACACCTCATTCGCATCAAATCTTGTTAACAGTAAAACATGAGAGAATAACAAAGAAATAAGTATATAATACTATGAGAGGCTTCTTGGAATCATCATGGCCTCACAGAAGATAATTTTGGAGGACTGAAAGTTTCAGTTCAGGCATGATCAGAGACACAAAGAGAAATTTCTGTACATTAGGCAGAAGATAATTTTGGAGGTCTGGAAGTTTCAGTTCAGGCATGATCAGAGACACAAAGAGAAATTTCTGCACATAGGTACATCCTGAGCTCAGTTCAGGCAAGGCTAGCTACAAAGCAGCACACTGCTAACACATTTCAAGTCTTTCGGATTCCCCTGGCCAGCAAGTTACGTCAGCATCAACTAAAGGCAACATGTTACCAGATGACGATGAAAATGAATACCCCAACAATAGTTATGAAATCCCAAACCAAATGTTTTTATTTAGCAGTGTTGAAATGAGTTCACAGCAAGCACACTCATAAATATTAGTACATATATAGCTGAAACAAATCATGAGTTAATAAGTTCCTGAAATAAATAGGGTATAAGAGGCCAAAAAGCTTGTGTACATTACGGAAGCTAGGCGTGACAACTGGATCCCAAGACGGAGGCAACTCGTCAACCCCAACAAGAATCTAAGCGGTGGGTCTCTATCAAAATAAGAACATACCAATGGCATGTAAGATGACACATACATTTATCATACTAAAAACAAACATCCAACACTCATGGAGAATTAACTAAAAGTTACATCTTACTGGGGAAAAAGTTAGCTCTTCGATCGACGTGAAGAGGCTAATGGTTGCAAGTTGTGGAGAAGGCTGATGGCTACGAGGTGTTGAATTAACCGAGTAAGATCATCACACACACATTTACCTTTAGATTTTTGCAGTGGGTATCAATGACTCATGTTCAGATGCAACTAGCAATCACAATCAAATGATAGGCAAAAGAATAGCTTCTAAAGAATATTGTAATACTACTAAGATTGGTTAAAACCAGCAAGAGAAGGGGATATGGAGGACCCAGGCTACAATGATGAGCACAAGCATGTACTCCCTCCGTTTTTTTTAGTCTACATATAAGTTTTGACCAAAGTCAAGCTTTATAGAGTTTAACTAACTTTATATTAAAAAAATATAACATTCACAATATGACATCAATATTATCAGATGCACCATGAAACGTATTTTCATACTATATAGTTTTAGTATTATAGATGTTCATATTTTTTTATATAAATTTGATCAAACTTTATGTAGTTTGATTTTGACCAAATCTTATATGCGGAGTAAAAAGAAACGAAGGGAGTACTGATGAGTCAGCTACATCCCCTGCACAACCAGACTAAATTATGTTGAATCAAAACATGCACACGCGTCAGGCAGATAAATACAACTAAACTACCATGGATCAAGAACTCAACCACACACGGATCAGACCACCCACAGATCAAGAACTCAACTACCAGGATTAAATAAACAACAAAAGCACTAGCAACTAAAACTTTAAAAGGCTTATGGATCGATCCAGTGTAGGGCTCGCCGGGGATCGAACCAAAAGGGAAACAGAAGATGGAACAAGCTAGGTCTAGCTTTGGGGTCGGCCGGACTGCAGGAAGGCATGGGTTCTCCGGCAACGATCCCAGTACTATCCTGAAGTGTGTATGGGTGAAAGATAAATTTTTTTTTGCATGAAAAGACTAAAGCTAGCAGTCAGAAAGCCCAAGATAAGTGTCCATACAATTCACTGCATGTTGATAAAAAAACAATTAAATAGCCACCTAAATTACAACCAATATTTGAAGGCTACTGAAGCTAATAAGTGCCGTGTTCTGCGATTAGAAGAGACAGACAAACAAACTCCACGACAGAGCCAAGTAGGACAAAGGAAGGATGGCCATTTTAGCTACTCCCTCCGTTTCATAATATAAGAATATTTTTAACACTAGCGTAGTGTTGAAAACGTTCTTATATTATGGGACGGAGAGAGTAGATGCTAATTAGAAACCTAGGGCACACTGTAGACTATTTTCTTTTTTTGTTAAACTTCATCCACAGATTTAGCTAGCAATATACGCGAAAACCTACAACACACTGTATGACACAAAAAAAGTATGATTGAAAACTTCTTTCAAATACGAATCTAACAAATTTTTTTGTGGTGTACACCTTACCTTTCACTAGTCAATTTACCGCCAAAGTTTGTCTTAAAATACCGAGTGATGAGTATATCACTACCACAGTTACACCTACATCCTCTGCTGCATATACTGGACCAATTACTAGAGCTCGTGCATGCCAATAAAATTATCAGGTACTTTTGTTAATGATTCTAATATTCATGAGAATATGATGCTACCTAAATTGGATGCATTTGTTTTGCTTACAAATGAAGGTCCCAACATGGACAAGAGCAATGAACATTGGAGCATGATCAAGCATGGAGAGAATGGTGTGCGCAAGGGGAACAAGAACAGAGTTTCTAGTGGAGTTTTCACACTTTGGAGCCACCATGATGACATACAAGGACATGAATGAAATATTCAAGATGGCCTTTCATAAATTTTGTCCATAGCTTAATATAGGTGCCGCGCCACCTTATTTTTAAGCCAGGCCCATGTATTTTGAAATACACTTTATAGGCTGTTTCTAGAGTCCGTACTAATAGGAAAAACGATTTAGGACAGAATTTAGTCCCACCTTGCCAAGGGTGGACGAATTCCCCCCCGTCTCCCTATAAATAGAACCCTTAGGGCGTCATTTCAGATTTGGGTTTTAATTAGTTAAAAGTTAGCCATTGCTGTAACTTCGTGTACTTTATTTGTGTTCAACGACCAGGCCAAGACCGCTTTTGGAACCCCACTTTTTCAATACTTCATCCATATTCGCAATATTCATATTGCTTTATCACATTCTTGTTTGTTCTTCGATTGCTTGCAGGAATAGACCGTCGTGGTTAGGTTGATCGTGGTCAATAACCTCTCGGAGTTGATTTAGAGATTGCTAAGACGCAACGTCGTTGTACGTGCTAAGACGGATCGTCAAAGTCGTCTTCACCAAATTGATAGTGAAAGTGCTAGTGATCGACTAGAGGGGGGTGAATAGGCGATTTTTATGAAAGTCTTCGAAACATGAAAGTTTCAAAGACAAACGATAGAAATAAACCTATTACCATGCAGCGGAAGGTAGACTACACTAGGCAAGCCATAGTCAAGTATTCAATGAAGTGAAAGCACAAAGACTAATAGCAGCTAGGCAGTATGGATCAGGATGGAACATAGTATGAAGCCAATCAGAACAAGAAGTCACACAGTAAAGACAAAAAGATAATGCAAACATGCAATGACTTCACAAGGACCAACTGTAATAAAGAGATAGGAAAGATAGAACCAGTTGCTCGTTGAAGACAATGATTTGTTGGACCAGTTCCAGTTGCTGTGACAACTGTACGTCTGGTTAGGGAGGCTGAGATTTAACTCAGAAGACCGTGTCTTCACCTTATTCCCCTTGAGCTAAGGACACCCAGTCCTCGCCCAATCACTCTGGTAAGTCTTCAAGGTAGACTTCCAAACCTTCACAGACTTCGTTCACCAGCGATCCACAATGACTTTTGGATGCTCAGAACGCGACGCCTAACCAGCTGGAGGATTCACAGTCCTCAAGTGTAATAAGTCTTCAGATCACACAGACAAGAAGACTTCAGTGATGCCTAACACTCTTTGGCTCTGGGTGTTTAGGGCTTTGTCCTCGCAAGGATTTCTCTCTCAAAGGCTTCGAGGTGGGTTGCTCTCAAACGACAAAAGCCGTGCACTAACTTTGAGCAGCCAACCAATTTATGGTGTAAGGGATGGGCTATTTATAGCCACTAGGCAACCCAACCTGATTTGTCCGAAATAACCCTGGGTCACTGAGGAACTGACACGTGTTCCAACGGTCAGATTTCAAACACACACAACAAATTTACTTGGGCTACAAGCAAAGCTGACTTATCCAGCTTTGGATAAGATCTGCTCTCATTGTCTTCACTCGAAGACATAGGATTTTGGTTAAGCATCACTTCAGTCATTCTGACTGGTTCACTTGGACCCCACTTAACAGTACGGTGGTTCCTATGACTCAACAAAGAAGAAAAGGAAACAACGAAACAACTTAGTCTTCGCGCTCCATAGTCTTCACTCAATGTCTTCTTTTGTCATAGTCTTCAATGTGAATATATTCACATACCACCTTTGTCTTTGATGTCTTCATACATTTTTAGGGGCCATCTCTAGTTGGAAAACCGAATCAATGAGGGACTACTACCTGTGTTATCCTGCAATTCTCACA